CGTAACGCGGACGGTCGTTGGTCAGATGGCCGAATTGTTCAGCGACGAAAACCGAAACGGTCATCGACGTTCCAACGCGACAGTCCGGCTCGAATACCACAAAGTGAGCACAAGTTTCAGGAGACTTAAAATCCATACGATCAATAATCGATCGAATATAGCAAATTCTTTTTCTCTTTTCACAAACACATCTCCCCTCGCTGCAGCTTTTTCTAGAATCTATTGAAAGAAATAGCATACTAAAGCGTATAACGTAGAACTGCAGTATTCCGCAAAAATCAGTTATCGATTAGAGAGAGTCAGTAATCGATCTGTTCAATTTTTAGAGATCGAATGCGTCAATGCCACCATAAAAATGAGAAAGTTCTGAATGCACCTTTTAGCAAAAGAGTTTTGTAAACCACCATGCCATTTAACATTCAAAAATTTTGATCTTTGCGTCTCTGACCTCCTGTCGCTCAACTTCTCTAACCTCTTCAGATCGTGGAAAAGCACAACGAGCCTCGTATCCATCACCGATGCACTTCGATTTGGATCTTTGTTGTGACTGTAACAATGAGAATTGTTGTCGACGACAACGGTAAGCACTTTGTGCTGTTTCGGTGCGTTATGAAAAATCAATAATCGATCGTCGATTTCCAGGGCTCGTTCGATGATCCAAGAAAGAGCCGCGCAATCTCCAACACCTTACGACGATCCAACCGAGTTGAATGTCTCTAATCTTCCGCAATCATCGTCCTATCAAGAAGCACTTCGTTCTGCTGGCAGCACTGCTGTAATGACACCCACAGTATCCGATCATCATCTTGCCCCCGTGGCTGAACCGGTCCCTCCGTCGCGGGTTGTTAGGTAAGCTTTCGGTAAAGGTTATCAAGTAGGTTACCTCCTCAAGTAATTAGTGAAGCGTTCGATTTCCAAAACGACGGTGGGAGCTAGGCGCTTTTTTGCGTGCATGGCGCATACCAGACCGATCAAATTATAGTGAGTGGAAGTGGAACATCAGGCTGCTACAGTACACTGCCCCTCTTCGCCCCACCGCCGACCCCCATTCCCGATCATCCTCGCCCCCCCCCACCCACTGGAATGTCGCTCCAATCGATTGAAAACACAGCTCGGTCGCGGTAAGACAGAAAAAATCTGCCTAACAAAAAAAGTTTACTCAAGGGACTGGAATACGAGCTTCCTCCTAGTCACTGGTGAAGCGGACCCCTTCCTCCATCGGGTTACCAGGAAGCGACTCTCTCCCCTACCCCGTCGCAGGGGATGGTTCAACATACGAGTGCCCTGAGCGTTATATAGGAATGGAACAACCATTAGGAACCCAGCTATGCTCTTAGATTTTCACGTTGTCGAAGAAAATCAATAATTCGCATTTCCATTTCAGCTATATCGGTACCATAATTTACCACCCTCCAGTGAACCCATATGTAAATCCACTTTCATCACCTGAACCACGTGTTAGTCCGACACCACCAGTACGAAAAATGTCCGGTCAGCGGACGAATGTCGACCAGGACGGCGACGAACTGTTCTCGTCGCTGGACTCGAATAACCCAAAGCCAAATCGTAAGACGCAGTCCGATGCGTCTGCTGAAAACAGTTCCGATGACGAAAAAGACGCGGAAAACGGGTAAGAGATTTGATCTGTCGGTGGTGCGTGATTTTAGGGATAGGGAAAAGATTACATCCTGTTGCAGAAACGTGCTCGATTCATCGCTCGATTCACAGAAAGCGTTCAGTGCCTTGACAAAGACGAGCAGTGAGGAAGACAGCGCAGAGAAACGGTATGCTGGCTTATCTCTCTTCTAAACCATATGAAAACACAATCCAAATCCCGGCGGGATCTAGGCACGTCTCTAAGAGCTACCAGGGCCGCATCGCCTTCATCTGCCAGGTTCTTGGGAGTGCTACTGCGGTCCTACTTGCCCCCGTTAACGCCCCACCAAATTCGAACGGACCCTGAGCAGGGTACATAATTCGCGCACTCCCGAACTTCAAGATCAATACATATCCAATCCTCGATGACCGTGCGATCGCCAGTGTCGCGAACTATGAACGCTGCTTCAAGGCTATCTTACCCTTAAACCAGGGGTGTTCCTCCTAACAGAGCGCGCTTACCGAGCAGAAATGACCCGATCTCAAGCCTCATATACTGAACCTCCTACCCGTTACCGAAGAGTTACAGTATCCGAGAG